CTTTTTCATTGAAGCCCATGCAGGGCTTATCCAAACAGGAGGGGCAATGGAAAGCTCCACTGTATTATAAGACTGGAGTTTATCTACTTCACCATCCCCACAGTGTAAAGCCTGTGAATTGTTCTTTTCTTGTCTAAACTATTTTGAATGAGGTCTCTTTTACCTGCTAGTTTGGCAAGCTTCTAAGGCATTTGTGCAAAGTGATGATGCAAGAGCAACCTGATTCAACACTGAGAAATTCATAAATAGCATCCAGCAGTAATTAGAGTGAAAAGCTGCAGGTAAGAAAAGCAATCATTCTACAGTATCAGTTGTGCTACTATACTCTGCAGTGTTAAAAGCAGACTATGTTTACTGGTGCATTCAACTCAGGAGGTATTGTTGTGAATTTTAAATATACCAAGGAGTCATTCTTTTTTTTTACAAAGATTGAATTAGATTAACAGTGATTAAAAAACCATGAGTATATACATATAGAAAGGATAGGAGTGGAAGAAAAACACAGTGCCACAAATTACTGTCTGGAAACATACTATACATGTAGTCGGTATTTTTGTATTAAAATGAAGGGCTAATTTTGAAGTCCAAAATGGTTTTAAAATAATGTAGTGCTCTCTATAAGGCCATTTCTCAGGAGGCAAGTGCGTGATATTCAAGACTGGGATATTTTATAAAGGACTTCAATTTGAAGAACTGGAATAGTTCTTTACCATCTTAATGAGAAACACTGCTCTACTTTCAGTAAGTACACACTAAAGTCACAAAAAAAAGCCTGTAAGTTCTTTGTCTGCATTTCTTCTTAGATTAGGGTTAAATGGCAGGTAACATTCACACAGAGCTTAGTTGTTCATTTTTATGTATACAAAACTTAACAAAGCAGTAGAATTTAGGTAGCTAGTACTATAGCAAATAATGGGTAAGTCGTAAAAGTAGCATGCTGACACTTTTTTTTACTTGTTTCTCAAGCTCTCCTCTGAACCACCTGCAAGGCCTGGATTTACTGGAAGGAACACTGGGCCCTGTATTGTGTAAAACTTTGTACAGCACAGCCCCAAATGCAGTTCAAAGATGCATTTTTTTAGAAAATGGTAAGGAGAAAAAAATCAAACAAACACTTAAAACCTGTTCCTGTCAGGGTCCAGCTGTGGCCATTGTGCTGTAGCACATAATCCATGCTTTTCTGGTTGTCAGAGAGAAGGTAAGCGTAGTTATGGACAGTAGTTTATGCTTCAGGGAGGAAAAAAGTGGTAGCCGGCCCAAAGCAACTTGAGACTTAAAACACAGGGTGAAGTCCAAAAATCACAGAGTGGCTAATTTAGGAATCTTGCATATTAAAGGAATTTCTGTGGTTATGCTCTTGATATCAGCCCCAGGTGTTGGGGGAATTCACATTGTATTTATTTTTACACCTTGGTGGGACAGAATAATTCAACTATGTTGTGGATCAGTTGATAATGAAGACGGGAGTAATTTGTGGAATCTAGTTCTAGAACTGGGCTTGGATAAAAATGCTCAGATTTAGATGTGCTTGTGGTTTGGACCAACATCTCAAATTCAATTTTTGTCTTTTTGTGACTCTAGTTTTGGGTACTAACCTGTAAACATCAAATGTGTAGTTGTCTTACTTTGGAAGTTCGCTGTATGCCTCAGTACCAGATACAGATCTTTAGCAGGACTTCATGTAAGGAACAGTTAAACAAAAAGCTTGTATGAATAAGGCACTAGTAAATGTTTGCAGCAAACAATTATTACAGTCTATATTCTTTTAAGAATAAAGCTGTTCTGTTTAGGAAGTTGCCTTTAATATGACAGAGTTACCAATGCCAGTGAAAAGGGGGTTAGAGAAAGTGCATCTTTTGGATTATGCCTGTGAGAAACCACTGAATGCAAATCCCTGTTAAGTTTGGAAATAGCCTGTGCAATGGTGATAATCGCAAGAGCTAAAGCAAGAGGAAGCTGCTCTGGATTCTGATCCCTGCTAAACCAATGTGAAATGTAATGGATTTGCTCCAGATTTATTTACATTGCTAGATGGATCGAAGCAGAATCAAGGCTGCTGTGACAAATCTAGTTAAACAGTACCAGTGCTAACCCAAAACAAATAATTTGCTGTAATCCCCTTAAACAGTTTCAAAAAAGAATCTTGTATTTTTAATTTCCTACTTGCTGAAGTCCAAGGATGCACTTTGTCTTTTGGCTAATGTAACAGACCAAAGCCTTCTTGTACTACTTTGGAGCTGCTGCTGTTCTAAACAGTTATTAAAATATCAATCCATATTTTATACCAAATGAAATTTGAGTCTGCTAGTCCATTTGTGGGATGGCTAACTGCTGTTTCATGTTAAAAGTTGTTCAAAAAACCCCAAATGCTTCCATTCATAAAAACAGAACATACTGCTGCTTTTAAAATGTACTTTACGTATTGGCTTTTTGCGGGGAGTGGGGGGGGGGGGGTCATTGAAGCACAGGAATTTGTTCATTGAGCCAGTAAGAATGCATTTGTAAACTAATGGATCTGGTTAATATTCATGATTGTCCTTCCCTAGGATCTATGCAGTAAAACTACTACATCTAAATAATTCATTTGGTATACTAAATGGAAGGTCAGTGATAACTCCACAGTCTGATTTCATCACTGAATCCTGCTTTGTAAACAGACAGCTTAGCTTTATCATCTGTCAAATTTTCTGTTCCACTCAGATCCCCCATTAATTGTACAAGATACCATTTAAGAAATTTAACACATTTCTAGTATCCATAATGCTGGAGGGAAAAAGTTACATTAATTCATTCCTGTATATTATTGCCATCAGGTCCTACAATTAACAACTCCAGACAGTGGGGTTTTTTTGTATCTAATGTAAGGACTCAGTACTAAGTTTATCTCAAGCTTTAAGATCACCCATCCATGGGGACCTCAGAAGCTTTACAAATATCCCAACCAGCTTTTAAAAAGGTGGTGTGGTTTTTGTTTTGTTAGGTGTTTTTTTGTTTAGACTTCACTCAATTCATTGCTGGTATAAATCAGCTGAAATTTTCTCTAGAAATTAATCTAGACTACTATTTATTTCTTAAGCAAAACAAAAAAACCCCAACAAGTAAATTAAGTGCTGGGGATTTCTCTCTCATACTTGCTGCACATATTCTAAAGTTATATACAGAAGGAAGAAAATACAGAAATTTCTCTTCACAAAGATCCTTCCTTCAGAGCAACTCGGGAAACCTTTTTTCTTGTTATATATTTGTGCCAGGATGTATGCTTTTCTTTGTGTGTGGGAGGAGGCTAATAGGTAAGTGAGTGGCATGTCTTTATCTGAATATTAGAAAATGTTTTTAAGCATTAGAGCTGTGCAGAATCTTTTCTGTAAAAGTTGGCAACTTTAATGGCATAACAAAAAACTTTATATTTTCAGTAAGATGATGTAAAATCTTAGCAAATGCAAAAGAAACAAACATTCTTTGTCAAAAGTGTGCCTTTTGCGGTCATAACTGGTTTCGTGGTGTGTCTAGCAGGCAATTTGAAGTTGTGCATACATTACCTTATAAGAATTTCCTAAGCTGTGCTTACTTTAAAATAAGTTTGAACTTTTTTAACGCTGTAAATGAAATCTGTGTTTTGAAAGTCGAGGTGGGTTTTTATCTTGTTCTTAAGATTCAAATAGTACATGGGGACACAGCTGGTTTTCTTTTTCTTGCCCACTGCTGTCAGAGTGTGCCTTCAGTAGCATACAGCCAGGTGAGAAAGTCATCATTTTGGAAAATGTTCTGTGAATGTTTAACGAAATGCAGAATGCAGTTTGGTTTCATGGCTGTATTTCGTCAACAGAAGCAGAGGGATAGTGATGAAACTTTTATTATTAAACTAAGCTCTGACTGGAGAAAAATCTGTTGCCAAACATGTATATATGTTTTTTTTTTTAAGAGCAAATTCACACTTTTACAGAACAGTTGCTTCTTGGTGCAACTGAGTTGTGTTTGTAGAGGCATGCTATTACCATCAGCTGAAACTGTGGCCTAAATGAAGGCATCACAGTTCTGTTTATGCTGATGTATTTACCTATATATGGATGACATTTTAACAAAAAAAGCCATTTCACAATTATTAATTTTTTTTTAAAGTAAAAGTTAGGAAAGAAAACTTCAGGTGCAAAATAAAAAAAAATGACTGTATGATTATTTAACAATTATTGCATGATTTTGGATAACACCCTTGACTTCCCTAAAAAGCAGTATTTGATAATGAGTCATCACATAACTGCTGACTTGCACTTGATAAATACTTAACTTGGGGAAGAGATTTTTTTGAGATTACAAAAAAAAAAGTCAATCAGTCCTATGTCTTTGCTATTAATCCAGAGACGTTCATTGTTAGATGAAACATGATATAATTGGAAATAACTATTACGTTGAAAGGAATCCATGTTACTTTGATTTATCTGAGAGGCTTTAGGGATTCCAATGAATTTGATGAGGCCAGTCCTTCAAAACCTTCTCATACTTTTAAAGTTACATGTCTGGTAATTCATTCATCTCCTAATGTATTTTAAGGCTAGTTAGAAGAAACAGAATAGTGATACTCAAAATGCATCAAAGGATGCATTTGCATGACTGGGTATTTATGTAAAGGGAAAGACTTACAGGTGAAAGTTTGCTTATTCCTTTATGTTTTCTAACACAGTAAACCTAACATCTACTTTTATGTCAATAATAACTGATCATAGAATGCCATTTCATAGCTTGAATCTTGGTTTTGACTCAAGGTTCATTCTAGCCAGGATGGCAATTAGGGAAAGTCCTAAAACTGAAAAAGAAAAATTGACATATGCTGTTAAATTCATATGTGGAACATTAAAATTAACATGGAAGCAGAAATGACATTCAGTGTCAGAAGTAACAAATTTGAAAGTCTTAAATAATTCAATATAGAGAATATAGTTTAGACAGTTTTTATATAAGTGTGCTTTTTCCTAAAAACACTCCCCAACCAAACTTTTTTTTCTTTTTCCTTAAGTCTTTTGTCTGTAAATATGAAAGAGGGCTACATCCCAACGTAATTCTTCATTGCCATACTAAACAGTAAAATAGTCTTTCTAATTCACGTTGCTCGTGGCAGTCTTATTTGACGTTGCTTTATTAAGTTTGTGATTAAAGCAGTTTGGGATTTTTGTTGGTTGTAAACTTTTGGCATAAGGTGAATACCAGTCCCTTTCAAAAACAGCCTTGAGTTGCTTAATGATGCTTGTGCTGTTCCCCACGTCTGCTTGGTTGATAACAAGGCCAGCTCCAGCATTCTGCGTAAAAGCATTTCCTACCCAATCAAAATTACCTACAAGTAAAGGCAGGAATATACAATGAGTTTCTAACATTAGAAAAAAAAAAAGCCATCTCCCTAAAGGCAACCCAGCATGCTGCAGTCTCATTTTCCCCAGTGCCTACCTGGGCAGAGATAGTAATAGGTTTTCTACACTAGTGGGTAAGAAAAAACTCCATTACGTACCAGCATGTAGTACAGATCATTTCTGCAAGCTCTAATCCTTCATAAGCAAAACCAGGTTCTTTTATTTATTTGAAACTAATTTGCTCTTCCTTTTGCATGTATCATATTATGACTCCATTTACTTTCCTCATTGGCCTTTTCAGTGCCAAGAATGAAAATATTTTTTTGCCATACAAACAATTTAAAGTAGATGGGATGGAGAGTGGTCGCTCTGTAATGCTGAGCCAAACTAATAGGTCTTTTACAGGTTACCCTTTGGCAGATACTGTTTCAGGAAGGAAGAACAGGTTTTACTGTTTTATGCCAGTTATTACCACCTTTGTTGAAAGGTAATGAATGAGCATTTCAAATCCTGGTGATTGCAAGGGAAAGATGATAACAGGATTAATGGAAACAGGTAAACCCAGTGTTTCAGTTATTTGTTTTTATTTCACTAGAACTATAATGATTTAAGTTGTACATTTATAACATGTGCAGTATTTTGGAGAAAAAATGGTGTTACTAGAGGTCATCTTTTATGTATGTTCAGATATTGTTTTAAAACATGAAGGTATCTGAGAAATTTATACCCTTTCTTTCAGCATCATTCCAGCTACTTCAGC